ATTAAAAGCAGACAGGCAACATACAGCCGAAGATACTATTAAACGAAGAAAGTTGAATTTAGCAATGAAGATTCCTTAAGAAGGGTAGAGGAGCACTAAGAGAGGATTTGTGAAAATTCCACCCCGAAGGGGCTAAATTAGGGGATGAAAGTTCGTATGAAACTTCGTTACTAGAAGTGCTAGGAGTTATATTTTTGCATGCGTGTTCTTTTTGGGATGTAGGTGCTCTCTAAGACTACAAAATACGAGGCGGTAAATTTGGGGATGAAAGTTTTTATGGAATTTTCTCATTTCTGAACTTAAAACTAGTCGCAGGCAAAAGCTAGTTATTTCTATAAAAGCAAGAATATAATGTTGATAAGAAATCGGATATATAGTTACCTTTTAAAGAAATATACTTGTCTTTGTAGAGAACACTATAAATTCACGAATTAGTTCAATTTTCTTACACAAATTATTTATACGAGTTAGGCGACTAATGACGATGTCCAAAATGACTAGTTACTCGTATGTATAAATATGTTTATTGTCAAAATAAGAAAAACTGGAATATTTTTTGTCGAAGTTTAAAAATGAATAAAGAGTAAAGATTTGTTTGTTTATTTATCTGCATTGTATAGGCTCTAGTTCTACTGGACCAATTTCTAAAATTCTTTCACTTACGGAAAACTACATCATATGTGAGTGAAATAGGCATACTCATGACATACTCATGTTACATTTTTTTCCACAGACTACTAAATCAGGTGTATTTCTATTAAGTCCTTTAGTGAACTAAAGATTTGTTGCACGTTTTTTCGCTATATAATAATAATGAGGTATGATGATGAGTAACCTAATGTAATGTATAAGATTTTTTTTACATTGAAAAAAGTTCAACCGTAGATAGTTTTTGAGTGATGTCAGTAAGAAATTACCATAAATCCAATAATTTAATGTTAACATCGTGCTTTGCTATTCAATTACGTAAGCGAATAGCTCATTTAATAATGCCCGTTTTCACTAACCCAGAACAAGGTATAGTTTAACTACAAAACTCACAATATTAACAAAAGCTTAAGCAGATTTGCCGTACACCAAGCCTGTACCGTTAGGTAATGCCATATTAAGCACTTGCTTAGATTGGCAACATTTGTCTATGATATTGCATGCTTCAGTTATTCTTCTTTTTCTTAATGTATGGCCTATTTGTGTTTACACAATTCCGCCAATGTCATGTTAGTCGCCTTTAAACGTAAAGAGACAATAACAAAAAAAAAAAGATATTTTGAGGTAATAACAGATAAAAAGTATACATGATCTTGTATTTACACGAGCACCCAAGTCGTTATTGTCCCTCCCTATATAAAAAATTCGAAAATTCATGTGTATCATTATTTGTATCTTAATTCTAACATATAAACTTCTTGATTCCAACTTATCAAATTGATTTAATCCCTTGACACATCCGTAATGGCCAAAGAGTAAATGTATCTGTCACATTACGCAAATGCTCAGCGTAAGGCGCCGCACAATGCATGTAGAAATTAATTTATTCACTTGACATTGGCAGAATTGTGCGAAATGCGCAGATAAGCCATTATTAAAAGAAGAAGAAGACAATGCATGTCCTAAATTTAACAGTTTCTTAATGTCATTAGGTGGTGATCCTTGTAATTGGTGAAACGTATTTTTACCTTCGATAATTATTTGTGTGTCAAATTTGGGCGACTCCTAAGTTTAGTGAAAATGGCTGTAAGTCGAATTTCCTAAATTGATTTTGAAATTTACCAACATACATTAACGTGCTGTTGATTGTACAAGAGTATGTTTGCAGACAAATAAGTATGATTAAGATACATTATAGTTTTTATATCACACTACACGTATCACTTACACGTACACTCAAAGTTTGAGCTAGACATGTTCAAGATATAGTACATATAAAATTTTACGAGATCAGTTTAGACCAGAGGTCCAGTCTGTAGACTAAGTTTGGAGCTACGTTAAACCGTTTCCTTCGAATTTTACGACTTGCCCAGGGATGCAGCTATCACATCACATATATGGTTTCATTTAGCTTCCAAATAAGTAATGAAAGATTTATATTGTGACGGGTTCGATGCTTGGGCGAATTAAAGAATATCTGACTAGTTTGAGAATTTATTTATTTTATAGTAATAATGGGTAAAGAATAGAAACTTTAACAAACAAAAAAACAGTTCGTATGTTTACCTAAATATAAAATTGCTAAATAAAACTTGGACGCTATTACAGGATATAATTTTATATATTCTATTTTAGTCACACATCTTCATAATTATAATATTTGTATTTTTAAATTTATACGATTTACATGTTCACAACAGAAGATTTTTTTACGAACTTACATTCATGAAGAGTATATTTTGATTAGTCAAAATTTAATATTACGAAAGAAGTATAATAAAAAGAAATGATGTTGAATGTCTAAGATAAAAAGTTTGCATACGGAAACCTTAGACGAAATAAACGGTGGTACAGCACACCGTTATAATATTTACTATTTTATTACACTTAGTGAGATCTATATACTAGTAGTAAAAAAAGTTTATGCTATTTTTGTCATGTTCATTTGTGAGTTCATCATCATTATGGATTTTTTTCCATAGACATTGCATTTAGTACCAAATCCTAATAATAGTCAAACTCGTTTAATAATCGAATAATAAATACCCAATACCGTCGCGGGCAATTGAGATTGTTGATTTTATTGAGTATTTTTCTGGAAACATAAATATTATTAATTAAAAGAATTAATTAATTATAACAATCTGAAAACTAAAATGTATCGAATTAATAGGTACTTAAATAATTTAAGGTACTCATTTAGATATAATTTTGGTGTCCAATGTTCCCCTTTATTAGAACTTTTACCTTTCCAAGATACAGCAGCATTTTAGATTACTACAAAAATGTGAAAGCACGATCGATTTTGAACTTGAATGACCTATGAATTAAGGTGAATAATCCATTATGGAAATTTCACAAATTGTTAACTGTATTATTATTATTTCGGATGGACATACGCTATTTTTACTCGTATTTAGGCACTATGATGGGTGTAGGCGCGCATTAAACTTGACTGAATGCTTATCGCGGTGACAATATTGTCAGACCGCAATCGAGGAAGTTTCTATCATAATGGTAAGCATAGTTTCGCAATGTGTCAAACCACATCGTGGAAAGCCATTCGCTCCACGTTTATTATGATCGATAGGACACAATCGTTCGTGTTATTGTGGCCTTGGGTGAACTGTATAATCTACTTGTGCTGGATATGATAAGGTCAAGGTTCACGCGTTGACGTATACAACGGTGGGTGAAAACCTTTGAAAGCACATACATATAATAGCAATTTAATTGTGGCTAATGGCACTGTGATTTAACTAAAAAATCGGGCTACTCTTGCTAATGCTTTTAATTGATTACTCAAATTGCCAAAAGCACTGTAGTGTATACCTACTATAGTGAATTAAAAATAATTATATTGTCTGTTCTATTAAATTATATAACAAACATACACTTCCATATTTAGTAAACTGTCAGCATGACTGTCTATTTACTTTATCGATCCAAAGAACATGAATTTTACATTGAAACGTTCTTTGCGAATTACTTAGCCCATTGTGAAAAAGGTATGATATTTCGCTAATTTAAAAGTTTCACGCGTTCACGAAGGCAGGGAGACGTGGAGAGCGGGAGAACTTTGTTTCATAAGTTATTAGAATATTAATGTATTATGAAATTAACAATATAGGTACTGTGTGTCCTGAAACACTTAAAATTATTGAATTATCTTACCAATTAGCGAGAAATACACCGAGAAGATACACACAAAAATTGCGAGCATCTGAAAGAGGAAAAAGTTACATTATGCGTTTATGATTTATTCATATAGTTTTCTTAAAAAGATCTATATATAAAGTAGACACGAAGGTCGTGACTTTTATGCCAGAATACACTGGATTATATTGACATTGCGGTACTGCGCAGAAATGACAATCGCTCGGGCATAAAGGTTTTTGTGTGGAGGGAGACCACGATTTGGATAGTCGTCTGTTTGGATGACCTTCCACTAAATGAACAAAGGGTACACGTAATATAGTTGTCAACTTATAAATTTGACATTTGTATTCGATACGATTTCTATTCGCACTTTATGACTCTTAGTGTTCAGTACACTGATACTGGTAGACACTTGCTCTTTGTACAACAGTCACTAGTGGAATAAAACTGGTGGTGACAGTGATGTTCTTTTACTTATCCATGTATGCAGAGAATTTGTTGCTATATTGTGTTATGTGTTTACATACAACAATATTGATTGTATTTAGTCTTTGCGTTTGTTTTTTATCCCTTTTTCATGACCTCCGTATCCGAGTGGCGCTAACGCTGACTTCAAGATGTTGAGCGAGAAAATGATCTTTTCCATATTGTCTCTGGTCTGGGTGTTTTGGTACCTCTGTTGTTTCAAATACTCCATAATGCTAGTGCTGCTTATCTTGTAATACATATTTGTTTATTATTTTAATAATTTTTAGCTTCCTCTCTAATTTTTTTCCAAACGGCGGGCTTAGCATGTCAACGACATTGCGACTTTGAACTTAGACATATTAATGAGTGAATTGTCTTAGCTCACTGTGTTTTGTTTAAACGCTGATAATCTTATCAACCAATAGAATATTTTTACGTGAAACAATATTATTGTTACGGTATCATCATTTAATGTATTACGTTATTCAATTGACATAGTTAGTCGCTTAAGTGGTCTCGTTATGAATGAACGTGCACGGTGCAATAATGTCAACGAGGTATACAACTATTCATTACTTAAATGGGAATTATGACCCGCATACGACTTGGTAACTGTGCGCTCAGAAACTTATGTGGGTGTACTTATATTGTTTCCATTGTTCCCATGTTTCATTTCACAATAAAACACTATTTTTTTTCTAAATTTATCTTTTTTTTGTTTCCAGGTAATGAAGATACTTCAGCGAGTTTGTTAAGAAACGCTAGGAATTTTATGAGAGGTAAATTTTCGGAATATCTGAATGGTATTGATCTGTATAGCTTTAACGAACGCATTTTTATTTTCGTTTTAACTGTTTGTTATTTTAACCTTTTCGTTATGTGTCATACAATTTAAATAAATAACTCCGGAATAGAAATGAAAAGAAATAAATACTCGACATTTATGAAAGCAAGGTGGTAATAATCTGAGGCGGATGGTGATATGGCTTCATATTCTGTTTCACTGCAATCGTTATTGCATCACATTTCCAGCTGATATTGCAAATAGCTCTAAAATAGCGCTAGGAATCGGATTTATGTTTCTTAGAGTTTCTTTCTCACATCCTTGGACTGTTGTCGTCGTAGGCATATCTATATATTTTTTTTTTTTCTTAGTTATCGTTAGAGACAATGACATTTTTCCATTGTCCTATTCATAGTCTCTAATTGGGAGTGGAATATTGTACCTAAGTATGGGAAACTCTTTGGCAACATAGTTTACTCTATGCTTTAGGTATATTTCGTGTGCGTACAAGTTGTTACACGTTTGAGAAGGTCAAAGTCAAAAGTCAACATTTTTATTCAAATTTGTCGCGTAAATAAAACATTCGGGATTACACTATGCCGTGAAGAAAAAAGGGGGTCGATATACTTGAAAACATTTTGTAGATGAAACAATAGCATTAGCAAACAACTGTGTTGTTACAATTTCAACGAAAATACGAGTACAACAACTTTAAATATCTTTAACATATAACAAAACGTTATGTTCAACTTGATGTCGATGCATTCTTATCTGCCACAGATAATGTTTTAAATTGTATATTAAATTTGTCATTTTCAAAAACAAAATCATGTCATTTCTTTGTTTAATTGGCAACGAAAATATTTACTTCTTTATAGTTGTTTCTGTTAGAAACAAATCAATATTAGTGAATTATTAGCGCGAACCCCTTACTTTTTTTTCAAGATTAATTAGAACAATTTCAAAGTTAAACACTTAAGTTAACACGCAAGCACATAATATTTAGTACCTATTCATTTTTGCTGACTAGCAATTAATAATTCCAATCAAATTCACATTCGTTCGGAGTTTCAAAAGAAATGACCAAATAATTTGCTTAAAGTAACAATATTTAAAGATAATCTGCTTATGAATTCATTTTTACAAAAAGAAAAAAAAACAAACTCGTACATTTAAGTTGTCATTGATTGACAGTAACATTATGAAATAATTAACGATGCCTGTAAAAAGAAAAGGTTGGAATTTGTACATGGTAATTTTGTGAAGCCAGTTGTGGAATGTCGACCTTGAACTTGACGAAAATGAAGAACTGGTCAATGCCTTCTTAGTTCTTCTCAATACATTGTTTTGTTCAAATTATAACTTGTAGTGTCTGTATCGAGTTAAAAATAATTAAGAATTTCTTTTACCTATATTTCACCAAGCCAAACCCCTTAACACTGCGGATGCAGGGTGGTTAGGGCATTCGTGGGTTCAAAATAGCAATGCAGGAGTAAAATTGAATGTTTAATTTTTAATGGTTTTTTAATAAAAACAGTAAAAAATACTATATATTTATTATTTGTGTATAACAAAAACACAAGTTTTTTTACTATTTTATATAATTTCCTTTCTTTTTTTTTTCTTTTTTTTGGTACAAACAGTCATTTCAATCCTTTCCGTGTAAAAATAACTTTCTTACCCCTGTTTAGCGGGTTTTGGAATACACCATATTAGATGATCTTCACAAACTATTAGTAAGAATACACTTCAAATTTATTTCATTTTATAGTTTAAAGATAATATAAATCTTAATAGTTAAAAACTTTCATATTCTTTTTAAGTTCCTAAGTAAACAAGTGAAACTTAACGATATCGTTCGATTATCATGTATTACCTTTAGATTATGCCCCTGAGCCAAACTTTAATATCATATAGTAATAAGGCATTGCCCAACCGCTCGTTCAATGCTCGCAGTATGTTGGAGGTCAGTAACTAATCGGAGTCGAGGATCGTGGTATATACCACAGCTGGACGTGTGGGCGTCGTTTATCGAACGGAAAATAACAGCGGCAGAGTTAAAAATTTCATAATGACAATTCGAAAGATACATTATTACTATTAGCCTTAACATTAATTTGTCTATATCGTGTTGATATTATTAATTCCTCGCTAACTTATTATCTACAAGAGTTGCATAATCTGTGCGAGATTGTAAAAGGTCGACTGCGTGACATTTCGGTCATACGATCTTTGAATAAAACTTACTTATAATTAATAAGTACGTACGAGGATTTTTATTCATGAGACTATTTATAGTTTCGTTTTGCAATCGCAGGTCCTTATCTTAAGATTTACGCAATTGTTAGTTTGTTTTTAAACTAATTTTATGACGTTTGTAATTAATATTGTCATTCGGTGGTAACAATCAATACAGAAGCATTGCCAGTTTCGGAAGATTCCATCTATTCCATCTTAAAATATGTACTACAATAAGCGTATATTTAATTTTGATGATTATGTAAAATGAATAAATTAATTAGCTTGTGCTTCTGAAATAAAGTAACTAAACTAGTTCAAAACAATGTTATTTATAACTAGATGATCTGACTTTAAAGTAAAAGAGTTTTTTAAATAGTATACACAAAAATCAATAACAAACAAAATCTGTCCAGCTGTAATAGAATTTTCGTTTATGTATTATGTAATTGAAAATAAAATCTATTATACCAGAGAAAATCATTTAGAAAACTTCAGTGGTCTCTATCTGGTAGCTGCTCTGTTCGCGGAGGTGGTCAAATTACAAAATTATTTAATTTCTTAAAATTGCACTGGGCGTTTCGGTATCCTGCTGTCGCGCTCATTTAGTGCAGCTGGCGAGCTTTTTATTTCTCGCGTCCTGTTGATAAAATTGCACCCCTTCAACGGAAACGAACGTACGATTCTGCAATTGCAGGAGGGAGGGAGGGGGGGGGGGGGGCAGATGTTGTTTGGATATCGTTTGCCAAGTGTGAAACGTAAACTAGTAACTTGACTGTTCCAACATTTTTTTTTATGCTCGATAATTCGACCAGAAATTCTTATCGTTGAAATCGACAAATAAATAAGACGTTAAAAATTACTGATCCCATTAATTGATTGTCTAATCGATTGGTTGATTTCCCCCTTCAAAAGTGGACTAATTTTAATTATGTATAATTACACGCTTTTTTGTTTTAAAGATTAAAGTTAGTTAGTAACAAGTAACGAAACGGTTGTACGTAACATCTGGTACAAAAACAAATAATGGTTATACAACTAGGTTGCGTATTCTTTACAAGAGCTTCGGCAAAAACTAACTTGTAGATATTTTGATAGCCACTGAGTTGGAAATAGTGGAGATTAATAGGAACGATAGTGACGCACTTATCTGTTTTATTTCCGTATTGTTCGCGCTGTTTATGTGTTGAAACTTTTCATTTGTGAATTTGCTTATTTTCTTTTTTAATTTAGTTTCTCTTATATAAGTTAGCATCTAAAGCTAGCAAACAAATAAGACCATCTCTATCCTGGTTAAAATAGAAACTGCAGATGGCGTATTAGGCTCAGCTCAGAATAAGAACATTCGCCATATGATTCGAAAATTATGTTTATTGTAAAGTCATACATGTCAGCTACAAAGTGTATCACTTGTCATTAAAATAATATAAATACGAGAAGAAAATGAGAAAAAGAATATCATTACTGTTGTGTGCGCTGTTTATGTGTCTCGGTGTTTATTATCTATATACGTTTATATTAGGTTGGCGAAAAGATATTTTCGCATATAGTACGCATTAGCTTGTAATAAAATCTTTCTAGTTATACCATTTGCATCTGGCTGGTTACCGAAACCAGCCATTCATCATTAAAAAAAAATTAAAGAAGATACCTCTGCATTCATATTAGTGTTTCATGCACATTCGTATGTTTTTCTTACTGTCAGAATAAGTGAAACTAATGAAGAAATTAGATACATTTAAAAAGAAATGTTACAATAAATCGAAAAATGCAACTATTTGTCAGCTTCATTTCAACATATCAGTCCTGCCTTCAGTGGTAGCGACAATACTTGTAAAAGACGTTGCTGCTGTCATCCTGACTTGGTCTGTACAAATATGTTATATATGTATGTATATCAATTTGAACTTACCACAGACTAGTTAATCCTATTGTTTTATTAACACGTATTTACTTCAAAAAACGGCATCCGCTCAACCTTGAGTTGGTAATAACGTTTCGAGGCATAAGTGAAGTGAGTTTCGAAATGACATAGGAATAGAATATCTGAGACACGTATACACGTAAGCGATTTTGTTTTGTATTTTTATATAAAAAAAATGGATTCAATAGAATTTCTCCACTTCAAAAAACGGCATCCGCTCAACCTTGAGTTGGTAATAACGTTTCGAGGCATAAGTGAAGTGAGTTTCGAAATGACATAGGAATAGAATATCTGAGACACGTATACACGTAAGCGATTTTGTTTTGTAATTTTATATAAAAAAAATGGATTCAATAGAATTTCTCCACTAAATAACGTGAATTCTAATTCGGATCTGATCTCCAATGATGTTGCCTGGATTCATTTCCAATATTTTTAATAATAATATTCATATCTTGCCTATCAATCATGCTGCAGAGAGTGTAATCTAGAACGTGATCGTTATTTAACTTAAGGCAACGTTGTACAAAATTACCAATTCTAAAACCCAATTTGTTCTAAAAGCTATCCTAATATGTGCAAATAAAAATCATTTTATGAAATAAAAAAAACATATAATCGATTGTTTGTTAAAAACAGAAATATAAATTTTAATAATTGACTCGATAGAAAAAAATCGCAGAGATGACTCTAAGTAGGTTTTGGGAATCGCTTTTACGACTATAATATATTTTAACTGTATAAAAATAAATACAAAAATAAACCAAGTCTGCACTCGTAAAAGTCATAATCAGTTCGTAACATGATCTCATTTCACTGAATGATTCATACAGTTCGATCGCTTCCCTCCATTTAATACAAGATCAATTCCCAAAGTAAATGATAAAC